CTCTGCATCAGGAAATTGGTCCGTAATGTATAAATAACATTGCACTTCAGGCGCAGAAACGCTGCCTGTTGAGAAAAGAGATCATTTCAATTGGAGCTGACATGTAGTCATACTGGGTGATGTGACAATCCTTGGAAGCAAGTGAGCTGAGGAGCAGGGAACAAGAAAGGAAAGCCAAGTACTAAGCATGGCTCTTTGCTGGAGCCCACATCCCAGTCTGTAGCGGTATTTCTCTTCTCTTAACAGCACAGCAGATTGGCAGCTCGCAGCCTCTGCTCTGTTTTAAACCAGATTGAGATAGAGCATTTAAACATAATGAGGTGAGGCATTTATCCTTTGAGCCCTGGTCAGATTTAGAGAGCTGGTACAATTATGTGTTATTTTAGTCTTTCAAACAATGCTTGCGAGTCAACTGGCACAAAGCCTGACTCAGTTTTATGAGGACAACCCGTATTTAATTTCTCTGTGTGTTTGGGTTATGAGGAGTCCAGAGCAAGAGTTTTGGAGCATTTTGTACCTAACAGGACAGATCATCAGCCAGTGTAAATATCAGAGTTGCTTAGATTACTTAGGAGCATGACATAAAAGATAAAGTCTGCATGATGTTTTAGCTATTCTTCTTCGTTCTCAATGTTATTTGTGAATGCTGTGCTTAGTGGACACGATACCATGTTACAGGGTCTGCAGTCTATATTCCATACAAAAATACCATGTTAGCCACAGGAGAATCATAGAATCGCAGAATCGTTTGGGTTGGAAGGGACCTTAAAGATCATCTAGTTCCAACCCCCCTGCCCTTGGCAAGGACACTTCCCACTAGATCAGGATGCTGAGAGTCCTATCTAACCTGGCCTTGAACAATTCCAGGGATGGGGCATCCACAACTTCTCTGAATGTTGTACTGAATGTATTGCTTGTTGTTGATTAACACAGATACTGCTTGATGGTCTTTGGGACTAAAGCAGCTTGAGAATCTAAATTGCAGGTGAGCAATGGGAAAGAAACTGGTCCAGCAGTGCTGGAGTCTCAAGCTTGCTCTAACCAGGCTGAATTTACTGTGCTGCTTAGATTGCTGCTGCCCAGCAGGGCAGGGGAGACCAACCAACTCAACTGTCTCTGCTGCACTGCAAGTTGGAGTGAATGTACTTTGGAAGCAGGCTTTGCCCTGTAAGCAGCAAAGGCTGGAGGGGAGCTAGGGAAAGGAGGAGATGGCAGGTAGAATGATGGGATGCATTCATGCTGGGCATAAGATGTAGTAGTAGTAGCAGAGAGAGTCTGTTTTTTAATACCATGAGTGGTGGTTTCTCTGGGAGTCAGAATTTCACAAGGTCACAGGAGGTGAGAAGGCAGAGGTTTAGGCCCTCAGCAGGTCACACAAGGACAGATGAACCAAAAGTTGGAGAAACACAGTGATATGTGTGCCAGATAAGTGTTTGCAATGTTGTTGACATTGCTGAAAAATAAAATAAATAAAAAAATATTCTTGCCTCAAGATATGTTCAAATAACTACCAGAAGCAATGCCTCTTATGGAACATTTAACGTGTACTAAGCTCTAAAGGAATATATTGTAGACATGCCAGTGGGAAAACCAGTGCTTTATGTATCAGGAGAAAAGTGACCCAAAGGCCATGCAGTTTCTTCCCAATCCACCCTGACTATGCATCTTGTCTATCTAAAGGCTGACACTTAGAAGTGTCTTTGCTATCCAGTCCTGGAGTGTTGTCCGAGACCCAGTTAGACAGTATCTTTCTCACACTGTCACCATAAGCTTATTTTCTGTAACATCCTTGACTATTCTCAGCCCTTTTCCTCTATCATCTTCTGATCAACAAAAAGGTTTTCTCACATCCACGTTCGTGTTTATTGCTTAATTCAGTGCTGACTTCTGCTTTGTCTTACCCTACAATTCCCTCGGGTCCAGTTTCTCACTGCAGTGGATGGTGTATATGTTGATTACCTTTAATGTATTTTGCATACTGAAATATCTTTAGGAATTGTACACATCTCTGCAAGCACTCTTTCTTTAAAGCCACCTTCATTTTCTATCATAATCTTTTGAAGAATTCATAACATTTATGATGTTTAGTGCTGTTACGTATTCTTTCACTCCAGTACCTGTTTCAATCTCCTGTGATACTTTCAACAGGATTTTTTTGGTGTGAAATATATACAGGCTTGCTCTATCTAAATAAAATCCCTATTTCCTTCAAAAGAGCCTTGCAGTTTTAACTGGGAAATTAATTTTTGCCTCCTCCTGACCATGTAATTTCAAGTTGTTGTATTAAGTAGATATGAGATAGGCTTTCCTTTTTGGTCACTAAATAACATTTCTCAGTGTGTCTCAGCTTTGCAAATAATAGAAGCAAAATTACAAGAAAGAGGAAGGGTGACAAGAAGTCACCTGCCCTGTCCTTCACAGTGCTCTTATCTCCTCTTCTACCGCTGTGTTGTAGCTAATGCACTTCCCTCCCCAGTCCCAGATGCTCCTGAATTCCCATGTCATGACATGCTTTCAGAAGCTTTTGCATAATCTATCAAAACCACACCTAGACTCTTGTTTTGTTCTGGTGTCTGCCAGGTACTCCCCATCATCAAAATGTTCTGTTTTTCACTGATTGTTTCAATAAAGAGCTCTCAGATCATCAGTGAGTCACTTACAGGTTTTTAGGATAATGCTACCTCTCCCTTTTTTTTCTTTTTCCATAAGCATGGGCCATCCCTCCAGCCTTTTGCAGCATTTCCTATAGTTGTATTTTGAGCTAAGGTATGGATCAGTAAGGATTTTTAACCAATGCTTGTGGATTTAATTGACTTCTGATGCCTTCCAGTTTGACATGGTTCTTCTCTGAATATCTTCATCAGCACCCTGGCATTCACTTTGCTTAATCATGCCACTCTACTTCCTTTTTTTTTTTTTTTTCAGTTCTCTTAGCCAGAAGATAAATGGTGCTTTACTTTCCCATAATGCTTCCTAATTTTTTTTCAGATTTTGTTTCTTTATCACTGTGTAGGTTCATCACTCTGCTACTCTTGCCTGAAATACTTCCACTGATTCTCTTGAAGACACTTCTTTTATCGGGTAATAATGTTTTCTCTTTGAATAATTTTTAACTTTACTGACTGCATCAAGTTCTTCTGCCTCAGTCTTTTCTAACTGCTGCAGCACTGTGGTTCATAGAATTTTTTTCCACAATTACATTCACCTACTTTTTCAGTTTCCCTTTTCCAACTCCTCTCTCTCTCTTTTTTTTTTTTTTTTTACTGTGAACTTTTCAACTGGTTTTGGACCTCCCTCTGATGCCTTTTTTGTGGTATTCTCCATCAGAGCTTCAGAGTTTGCCTACCGCTGTGAACACTTCTTTGTAGCGTACCCTTGCAAAACTAGGATGTCTCTAAGAACTGTCCCTTCTAGGAATCTGCTAGGATTTTCTGTGACTTACCAAAGCTGCTGCTTCCTTATAATTTCGGAAGCAAAGGCAGCGTACCCTCACAGATTCGATAAGTACACATATCACTGCCAAGGCCTGCTTGCTTTTTTCTCTTGTTGTCTAGGTTATTAACATTGCCATTTGAGTCAATAGGCTGCCAGGAGAGAAAAAAATGACTCCATCACTAACAGATTACCCCTGCTACTGACATTTTGCCCTTCCTAGTACCATAATTCAGCTCATGAGAAATACTGCTGATTGACAAAGTTAAATTCTCAATATACATCAAGCATTCAGAAAGCTCTTTCCAAAGTTTGCTTTTTTTGCACCAATGCAAAGCCCTTAGCAATTCTCTCCAGAGCATCTACAAACCAGATCTTTTCTCAAAGGCTTGAGAACAGCAAGTGGATTTTCTTTGAGATTTGAACATATTCCACTCAACATCTAACCCATCCAAAACATCATTTCCTTGGAGCCACCGGGGCATCTTTAGGAAACGTCTTCCTTATATTTTCTCAGCAACAATATTTCACAACTAGACAATCTATCTTTAGTGTAAGTTTAAACGAGCGTGAAATCATGCTTGGCAAGTGTTGGGTGCCTTAATTCCCCTGCAAGTAATACCTCTCAGAGTAATCCTCTCTAAAAACTCTGTACCTGGGGAAGAACAAACCATTTTTGCTACTTATTGTAGAAATGCACTGAGGTGGCACAGGACCCACTCCTGTTCCCTGTGGAGAGAATGAGTCGGTCGCTTGGTTGCAGCTGCTAAACATGTATTTTCTCGTGTTCTTTGTCTGGGTTTGGCATTGTGAGCCAAGGAAGAGAGAGAATCACAGCCATGGGAGTGCTGATGCTGCTTGGGAAGCGTCGCCCTGCTGGATCGGACAAAGAGAGGGGAGGATTAGGGATGGGGGTAGCAGCTGCCGAAAGATTTGACATGAGTGCTATGAAATGGTTTAGCAAGAAATGAATGACAATAGTGTAACTGGGAAGAAAGGGGCATTTATTGCTTGCGGGACGGCCGTACTGAGCAGGTGACAGTCTGTCTTTATTGCTGCTGAAAGCAGCAGGATTGGAGGGGGAGCAACCGGAGGTGTTGCTTTCTCTCT